TACTATGAAATAAAACAAAAATAAGTTATCATGTTGTAAATTGTATATGCTACGGAGAAAAACGGTTGGGCATCACTAGAGAATATAAATTAGGTAAAAATCTATAATATGAAACTTTTGAAATAATATTATTCCACCTACTGCAGCATAGAACATAATATATCTAACCTAACCTACCTAGCCAATATATTCGATTGAATTGCATATTACATTCATGTTGTTCTCGTCAGCTTGATAAAATATGTAACTTMATGGACTCAAACAATGGTATCTAATCTAATTACGATTACTTCGACATATAGAGAGTAGGGAAATGAGGTTATGTTATGTTATTTAAATCTCTCAATTTTTTTTTATCTGTAAACACTTTTAAATTAATGGATCTCTCGAAATTCGATTACGTATATTTTTCCACTCATGTTTAATGTATTTACCAGACGATGATTAGGTAGCTTATGAATTTCCAAAAGTACCTATGTAGACAATTTAATAATAGTGGGGCCAGTATATAATCATTTAAATAATATTTTGTATTCAACGTTTTTTTTTTYTTACAAATTTAATGCTGACTCAAATGGTTCGAGGACTGGATTTCTAACAATTATATTATGCTGTACGTCTTCGTTTACGGTAATAGTTATTGTTGAGATTGCGGTTTAAAATATTTCTAAAAACATTCCACAAGACAACAAGTATAGATAACCTGACCTATAGATATTTAAGGGAYGTATCTACTTATAAGTATTAGGTACAAACAGGTATGTTTTATGTGATATGTTTTTAAAGTTATTTTGTGAAATTAAAATATTAAAGTTCTTCATTAATCGTTCAGTTATTTGTTATACAACAACCTACTCATATATTTTTCCAGTATCTTCATCGATTTATCGTTATAAGTACGGTATGTACATTAGAATAATTTTATTATATTAAGTGCACGACTTATCATTGACAACCTCACTGATACCGGACTATACCTAACCTAGTATGCTTTCAGTGAATCTAATATGTTTCGAATTTATACCTAACAAAAAATTATGCTTATTAAATGATAATTTTTAATTTTTATAATTAATATATATTAGGTATGTTTGTATATTTATTTTACTTGTACGTAATTTACTAAAATATGCATAATTTATTGAAAAAGACACATTTTCCTATAATTAATCAATGTGTAATATCTATCTTATTTACGTGTATTTTAATATTATAGCTATAGCTACAGATAATGTGTAAATTAATAGCAAAATAGACAGCTCTATGTATGTTTAGATGGTTTAGGAACCAAAACTATTTACTTAAGTACATAATAAGTACACTTGGAATTTATCATGTATCGTTGTTCATTTTTATCAAAATCAAGGGAAACATAAAAATAAACAATAATAATATGAGTGGGCGTCGGGCGATATTATGTGTCATTTTATCATTAACTAGATAATACAACTGATAACATTCTACTTTTCACTTATTAATATTTTACTTTCTTTATTTGCCATATATATATGTATGTATGTTAAAACAATTACTGTTAAGTAACAATTTATTACATTCTTATATAATCTATATTTTACTATCATAATATAATAATAATAATAGCTTCATATTTTATAAATAAAAAAAAATATATTTAAGCACATATAATTATACTTCTTTATTCGATATTGCTATAGTTTTGTCATACTTTTTGAATGAAAATCTTTTTTTCGCGAATCATTACAGACCTTATAAAATATCTTTTTAGAAAATGTATAAAATTGTTACCCACCGCTAGATAGATTCCTTCTCATCAGTAATCTATTTCTGCATTATAGCAGCAAAATTCTATGATTAATAAATGAAATAAGACACAATTAGAAATTATTCTATACATCATATTGATATAAATGGCACTGAATCTTGAGTTTGTAAAACTTTTTATTTTAGTCTAACAAGTATTTGGAACTAAAATAATCAACACATTATATAAAGTTTATTAGAAAAAAGTTCATACCTACAATTTTAATTATTTTAACAAAATTAAGATAATTGTGGTCTTTACATTTAGATACAAGACTACTTTAATTTATATTTTTCAGAATTAAGAAGGTAATAATTAAACATGGACAATTTTCGACAACGAATATGTTTTTCTTCGCCTACAGAATCAGATATTTCACTGGATCACGAACGAAATAATGTGCGACGTTTTTTATTTTTATAATAAATGCTCTAAGCATAAAATATTAATTTCCTTCATCTTTTGTTTGTGTAGGAGGTTCAAGATTTATTGATATTTTTTGGTACTGATAAAATAGGAAGTAAAATTATATTATGTATTAATCAAAATTATAATTTAAAACAATCGAACTCTTTAATACACATTCGTGATCCTACAGGACWTGAATTTACAAATCAAGGTAAATATATATTTATCTTAATCTATATAATATATATAAAATTAATTCCACGTCTAAAATTTGGATAGATTATCTATTGGTTGTATCGCTCAAGCAATAAGCTTWTGTGATATAAGTTCTGAAGTATGAATCTGTTCTTTATTATGAAGACATTTCACTGATTGACGATCATTCATAATAATACTGTCAACAAATAATAGTATACATATTCCTTGCTTTTGTTTATTTTAGAAAYGGGTAAAGGATCTTATGCATTTTCTTGTTGGAAAACACCCAGTCTTCATTTTCAATGTATAGTACCTATGCGGACTTGGAGAATCGTGTTCAGTGGTCGTTTACGGTTAGAATATATATTATAATAATATAATAATAATATACTTATATTATGTAAATTAAATCCTAAAAATACCTACCTATTATATGTATATATATTTTTTTTTCTATAGAAACGGTGAGAATTATCGTCACGTTAAAATAAATTTCTTGTAAGTTTTCTTGAAAATATTTTTTAATTCGATTAATAGGTATATTTTAGATATTATACATGCTGCTAATACGGTTGTTTTGAAAAAAAAACATTTTAATTGGAAATATATAGTCTGAAAATGGTTTAAATATCTAGTGTACATTAAAAGACAATTTAAAAAAAAGTCTTATAAAATATTATACCTCATAATTTTTATACCGTCAGTTTAAGCATACGTATAGTACACACTTAAACATACCTATATACATTATACATATAGCTATAAACATTTTTATTTATTCTCGCTTCATTTTCTAGGTGGAATYCATTTGGATTTCCAGTATACTGCGATAAAAATAATACGTTTTTCAAACATGAAATCGACCATACGAATCCAGACTAGTAAATGCTTCTTTTATCTTTATAAATTGTAATGTATTATTATAGGATTCATACTTATTTTAATTTTACCATATGGTTTTAGCATTAAAAATTTATTGGGATTCGATCAGTTCGGTCAAATTTCTGGTTCGATAGTCGTAGATGGTAAAAAAGAAATGATGAACATGCGTGCCATGAAATTAAGACGGTGGAATATGTCAGTCAACGACTCTGCGTTTGTTGGATTTATAAATAGTGATATAATGTGTTCCGTACAGAAATTAAAAAGGCAATATATGTAACTATTTATATTTATTTATTATTTATTATAATTTTCTTACATAATATTTTGAACCATGTTATCATAATAGGTCATTGGAATTAAAAATATCTTTATAGCCTATACTCTATAGATATTGTATACATATAGTTTGTTTTATATTAGTGTAAGATATAAAAATAAATTAGTTTTGTAATATAAATGTTGGATTGAATTTAGGGTAAACTGCAGTGGCCATTTAAAAACAACTTCAGAACACGAAATAACCACACCTGGTGGATTGTATTTTGTGAGTGAAAATAACTTAGAAAATGACAGTCTGAAAATCGAAATACAACATAAAAGTGAATATCTGCATGTTCTATATATCTTATCGTTTTTTTCCAAATTCTCTGCTGCCCCAAACTTCAATGATATTATAATATTTTTATGCAATAGATYTTATATTTTTATGCAATAGATTTCAGTTTAAATGCAAGCTTAAAAAGCCAAACGACTGTAATTCTAAATACTGTATCGATTGCAATCCTTCTTGGAGACGAGTTTAAGGGAATACTTCTTTGTTTCAAGTAATTATATTTTCTACGGCACAATACTATTTTTAACATAWAACAATAAAGATAATATCTTTTACCTGTGACCGTGTGTGACTAWTATATATTCATTTTTCCATAATAATATAATACTATATTTTATGTACTCTTGTTTCTTATTATGTGAACAATATAAAATACAATTTGGTATATGGATTTTCAGAGATGCACATAYAACTGACAATATAGTAAAATATGCAGAAGAGATTTCAGTAAATGATCATAAAATTGACTTAACCGTAAACTTAGACTCGGAGATGTGCATGTTTAGCAATATAGTAGGGAACAAAGCAAAATCTTTGTTCCAATTAAAAAAAGCAATCGTTGATGGTCTGATTAACGACGTGAGTTACAAATATGCGAAAAAAACGTTTATACTACGTTATATACGCTTTGGATTATTGAAAATGAAGTTTAGGATAAATATGATAAATATGCGTTGATGGTTTTTATAATATGATAATATTATTATGTTATATATTGTTGTGACTCGAAGATTATTATCCCAGACGGTATATGTATCACGACGATGGCGATGAGAACACATATAAGAGAAAATAAACAATTGTCAATCGATTTAGACAACGCRATCGAAAAAGCAAAACAGAGCGATTTCGAAAAGTTAGCGGATTACTGTGGACGGTAAGCAGTAAAAACAACATTATACCGCGATATTACCAATGTGTATATAATATACGTTATATTATAATAGCTAGCTGATCCTGCACGGCTTTGCCCGTGACAATTTAAATTCTCATAGATTTAGATCTTCTCGAACTCTTTTAAATGTATAAACTTCATATGTTTAATATTAATGTTAAAAATACCCGTATGAGCTCTTCTTTACAATTTATAACTTTGGCTCACGGACTATGATTATAATGGACTGGTCTCGAAATGAAGAGGACTGTAAAGCGGAACGGGTCGCATATGTACCTGTACTCTTCCTTGATACTTGGGATTTTTATGCTCTCAAGCGCAACCTGGTTTTTAAGCACGAAACTATCATATATTCCTTGACAACACTATACCGCCTTATTTTTAATATATTGATAGTGAAAATAATTTATTCATTAATTATAATTATTATTTGTTCTTCGCCGAAGATTCTTCGGTAATCGGTAGTTCGATACTAGACATTTATTATTATATATTCTGTTTTACATTTTCCAYTAGGAAAGATCTGATGATTTGTCATTATTTAGTGAATTTAAAAGTAATTTCAATAAAGTAGTTTTGCCAGAAGGATGGTCAACATACATTAGTAATAATGAAATTGTTTTTTACAAACCAAATTTCCATGATGGTAAAATGCTAATTGAAAAACAGTTAGTTTTTAAATCTACATTGGAAGTATGTTTGTACATATATCAATTATCTGTTCAAATGGATAATTTAAGCTTTAAACTTGAATATCCTTTTTCCTTAAAAGATGTATCACAGACAATTGAAAAACTGAACCACAAAAATATTTGTACAGGTGTTCCTAGTTCAATACATTTTCCAGATTACTATATAATTATTGTTTTTATTATTATTTATTTCAATCCCCTGTGAATTCTGAATAGCTGCTATAATAATATTTATTTTTTTGCATACATACAGGAATTTGTGTGAAAACGGCAACTTTAGAAAATAACAATTTRTGGCGTCATCTTRTTATCTTATGTGTCCAATTTTAATAGTTCGAAGAAAAAGATGTGAAACTTGTGATCATTTAATTCAATATTTTAGAAAGTGTAAGCAAAGGTCATTAGTTAAACGTTCGTCTTATATCGGAAGTGTCCTTACTCCTACAAGACGTAGGACTTTGATAAACATTTTAAATGACAAAAAAAAATTTAAAAAATCAAATTCAAGGTACCTAGCAGTATAGTTCAGGTTTTTGGATATTCCAAGTATAAATAATTTGATAAAAGTATTATATTATAATTGTTTGTTTTATGATTTTATTAGTTAATATCACTTTTATATTTATTTATTTATTTTTAATTCATTCTCCATATGTAGATTACATAATGTTATTGAAAAATTAAATTTTGAATTGGGAGGTATGCAAGAAAAAATGAAATCATTATCAGATGCTTCTGTAAATTAAATACTTGTTTCRTCAAATTTAAGTGATCCCCAAAAAATTTTAATTCAAAAAATTTTTAAGACGAGCCAATACAAAAATTAAAAAACCGACGATATTCTGAAGATTGGATTCTCTTATGTAAAAAAATTTTCAAACCCGTTTGTACCTAAAAACTACCTATCATATTAAAATTTAAAATATTGCAATATTGTTTTAATTTTATATTATGCATTGTTATCATTAAAACTGAATAATAGATGGCACTGTTTTCCGAAAACTCCCYAGTCATTTTGACATTTCGGTTCCATTGATAATGCTTCGAGACCAGTCCATTATAATCATAGTCCGTGCTTTGGCTTCAAGGTGCATATTATCGGTTACAGGGTTACCGGTTACCCATTTACCAAATTGCAGAACCGTGAGTGTGATTGACTTCGCTGTGGATTCCTTTTATGGCTTATATACACACATAAACATTGCCTTCTAAATTGTTATTAATATATATATATATATATATATATTATATTATATATATATATAATATCATATTGATCCGTTCAGGTTGGATGATCAATGGCGGTCGACGGAACTGAGCGCTGAGTTGTTGGAGGCAGTTTCGAACGGCGTGAGCGAACACAACTTGTACGCAGTCCGTTCGTCGGGAATATTTGAGGATGGCGAATCGACGTCCTCGGCCGGCCAATACTTAACCGTGCTAGGCTGCACCGGTCGTACTTGTGATATAGTTGCTGCCGTTTTAAAATGTTGGTCGTCAAATTTCTCAGCACGAGCTTTGACGTATCGAAAGTATGTTGCACGCATACATTCATGGGCATAACTGAGGCCAATTTTTTGTGGGTTTGTAGGCTGGTATAGCAATTTCATTTCCTCCTTAATAAAATATAAACATACATCAATATATATATAATATATACATATATTTATATATATCCAGCATCATGATGTATTACGCATGTGCATCTCCATAACGTTTCCCTTTAATAATGTATATTATATATTTATTCAAACTCTGATAATTGAGATTTTTTAAATAAGTCATATTTTTCATTATTTAGATTTATAAGCACAACATTATATAAACTTAAGAATTTATAACAAAAAAGTTAATTTCCATTTGATAAAAAGAAGTTAGTATCGCCTCCACAGAACACTGTTTAAATGATATAATACAACACATTTAAACATTATCAAATTTTGAGAAACCCAAAAAAATTAAACTCTTGAGGATGTTAGCACATTATAATATACATGTTTTTCTGTCTGACTCATTTATGCGTTCAGTAGAACCAACCTTGTATAGTTAGGTATTGTATTAGAGTTAATAATTGACGTATTATAACAAATTAAGTAAAACTTAACTTTTTTTAATCTATGATATTATCTTGACTTTAAATTAAGAACGTTACCTATATGTGTTCTTACGTTGGCTTCTTTACGATGCTTCAATTTTTAATCAAGTTATGACTTATGGGTATACTCAAAATGTTAAATTTAAAGAAGCTCATATCTCATCGCTTTAAATTTGAAATTTTATAAAAAAAGACAACGCAAAAAGTAATTACACAGCAGTAGTTTAATGTTCTTATAACTTTCAGTTTGATAATAAATCAATTCGCTCTAATCTATTTGAGCTATAACAACTAATCAGCATAAAGTTGGTTTTAACTAAACTCAAATTTTCCATGTTGCTCATGAAAGAAAACTWATAGTTCATCGACATCTTTTCAAATTTAATTAAAAATAAAACAATGATATATAATATATATATATATATAATTAACATAATACATAAAATCGCCACAGCCCCAGTATTTTTTGATATTTTGTTCCGTTTTTAGTCATTGTGAACAACTGATAATTGTGGTTTTACTTTACAATGTAAACTATTATAGCCACGGTAATTTTCATAGGAACAATGGACAGCCATTAATGTGTGACATGGGGGTGGTCATACAAGACCAAGTGAGCGGTTCAGGAGTTGCTGGAGTTGCGTTTTCCAGAGACCCGAACACCGGTGATCCTGGGAAGATCATCATAGCCGCAAGTTACGATTTGGAAAAAGCGGTAAGTCTAACCAATAACCATAGGTGTAATTATTGATGATGGGAAGGGGGTCTCCCAATATATGCCGCTATTGATAGCTTCCATTGATTGTAATATACGGAAACGAGATCGAAGATCTATCGTTCACAATTATTCGAGGCTAAAATATCTAAATTCAAAACTTCCGTACTGAATATTTTATGATATGAGACTTATTTTTCCATAGGGATAGTTTCCCCTAATACATATAAATTGTAGACAATGATAAACAAACTTCAAACTAATATTAGTCTAAATATTTTATACACAGTACTACRMCAATAGTACAGTACATACTTTCCCCACTGCACTCAAAATTTCTTACTATACATAAAGTGCGTGTTATACACTTGAACTATACACAATTTTAGTCCTTGATACATTGTAACTTTGAATAAATGTGACTAAAAATTCTAAGCTAACATACTACTTTTTACTGCAGGGGGTTGTGTCGGGATCAGTCGAACCTCACGAAGTCATTGTTTCTAAACTGCGGTTCGAAGCAGTCGAAGACAATTTCACTACTTCTGCGGGACTTCTGCAGGAAACATCGAGTAAATATARTTATTAATTATTTGACCTATGTATCGTAGTATCCCTATAATACGTTTTTAGCTTACATTACCGACAATGTAAATGCGTCATAATCGAAGTAGCGCGTATAAATTTAACCAATGTACCTAAGTAACTGAAAATGCGCGAGTACATGCAATATGTCACGTATGATACGTATCTATGCGAAACGGTCCTAGTCCCTAGATTAGGTATAAGATGACAAGAAATCGGATTACTTRTATTATATAATAACTTTATATGCATAAGTTGTATAATAGACTAATAAATAACAGTGTTATATATGCCAACCAGTGACGGTTTTGTGGCGATGAGGCAAGTGAGGCATTTACTAGTGAGAAGGGTAGTAATGAAGTACTGTGCACTTTCGTCGCACTGATATGTGGGCACACGGCTGTAACTCGTGATATAATCATAATAATTAAAAGTAATTATAGTCATAATACTGGGGCACTGGGTATTGGTTAATTTTTCATCTACCTACCTATAACTCATACATTTAAATAATACTTTATAAGTGTGTTAATAGCACAGTGTTATAGTATTAGGGACTAAGGTAATATAAAATAATGTATTTAATATTTAGTAGCCTAACGTAAAAATACATGTGAGAACTCCCACTGTGACTTCAACTYACTATAATGTTCGCGCGTGTTCAGCATCATTCGCGARGATAAGTCACCACACTTGATAATATGTAGATGGGAATTATAAATTAATTAATTGTCAGATTATAAATTATAATGATATCTATATTATATTTGATAATGTGAATTCGAATGCTATTCATATTATTTTTTTCATATTCAATTGTTGGTATAATTTTTGTGATCAAGTTTTCTTAGATTTATGATTTATTGTGAATTGTATGATTATTACTTATAATCAGGGCCGGATTGGTATATATCAGCCCATCGAGATTTTCACTTCTAAGCGGYCCATTTACATATTCACTGGYCSAAMATTTGGGTCTCTATTATTTTTTATTGGTTTATTACGTCTAAAATCGTTACGAACTTATTTACTTATCCTAACATGTATTTATTTTCACCCACACTCTGACACTACCGGCCTTAACTTTAAGCGGCCCACCGAGATTTTCTCGGTAGCTCGCCTAACCAATCCGGCCCTGCTTATAATTAGTTATTATTCCTACTTCAACTGCGAGTGTAAGCAAAGCAATGACTATTGCAGTCTACCTGCAGCTACTTTATACAAACTCGTTATATGCCACTACGATTACTCTGTTATTAATAATAACTAATAAGTATAATAATTTATATATGAAATGTAGATTTCAGTGTTGAAAAATACGATGATGCGAATCCGCTGCAGTGTATTCCTGTTAATTTGACGAAAAAGTTGGCTGACATCTGCGTCCGAGTGGAAGRCGTGTTTGGTTCGCCACAAGACATTGAGTGGGTGGCTGTAGAGGTATTAGTTTTTTATGTATTTATTGTGWTTACTTTTTATAAAACAGWTTTGTGGTAAAAATATAAGTTCGAAGTTTACTAATTATTACAATAGGTGAGCATTGTTTGAAATTTAAAGTACATACAAATATTAAACCTTTAATRGTATCTCTACATTTTACAGTAAATAGATACCGAGTTTTATGAACTAAATCCTAACGATATTATGTACGCACATGGGTTTAATAAATAATAATATAATTACAATATGGCTATAAATTATTATAAATTATGTACCTACAGGCTACAGATATAAAACTAACCGTTTACTGCAGTGTTCAAATTAATCTAAAAAGATTACTTAAGTACATGAATATCTGTTGATGATCGCCTTCCATTTTTTATACAGGATCAAATTTACCTTCTCCAGTCGAGGCCGATTACATCTATATTCGCTTGGAMTAACGACGAAATAACGCGAGAATTTGACTCGCCATTTACGAGCGACGACGTGATTATGTTTTACAATGTGAAGTTAGATAGCAGAGCAATTATATTGCCTACAGAATACAGTATGTTGAAATTAACACAGTTATTTGTCCAATTTCAGAGAAGTCTACCCCAATCCTATGCACACTTTATCGTTGACTTTGGATTTCTTTTCATCGTACCCACTGTTTAAATTGGCCGAAACAGAGCCCACTGAGATCTATCGCAACAAACAGTTATCCTATACGCACAACAACATGTGTCTRAACGTATGTCAAGTAAGTATATATACACAAAAACATTATAAAAATATAACTAATTTGCTATAATACTTAAAAATATATATTATATAATGGCCTAATTGTTTTCGTATTATCAATAAAACAATAATTATAGTATTGACGAATATTTTTTATGGAAGATGTTTCAAGATTTAGAACCTGGCAGCGTATACGTTAAGATAATTGAGTACTCGATAGCCGGAAAATGTTTCTTAACAAGTGATATYTGGGAGAAAATACTATTGAAAAATCGCAGTTCTGCTTTAAAAAAAATTTTTAAATCTATTTCTACGTTTAAGGTATAGGTATTTATTTTGTATAYTATATAATGCAGGTTAAAATGTATCAAAAAACTCATAAATTATCATTTAGGAAACACTTTATCTTGAATCGCGATTAAACGAAACATACAAAATTATTTGTGACGCAAACATAGAASAACAATCAGACACGGCGTTGGATCTTTTGAACAATATCAATAGTGTTGTGGATGTTCTAGAAAAGGTATTAAGTACAATATATATAAAAAAGAATATCATATAAAATAATAATAAACTTATAAATTATAACAGTGTTGGTGAATAGCTTAATTTACAAATTATTTATATGCCAATGCCGAAATCACTTTTTAAGTAATTTCGTGATAAATTGATTACGTTTCATTCTAAGAAGAAACGATTTTCTGACAGTAAAATTTTTGTAATAGCTATATTTAGGCAAAATAGTTTTATTTTTAATAAGTATAATAATTTAGAAAATGTATTGTTCTTTTATAAAGTTTTTGTTTAATTTCATATTTGGGAGGGTGAAAATTAAAAAAATTAAAAAGTTAACAAAATCTAGTTGGATATCGGTTCTTATASAGAAAAAAAACATAAATAAATCATTTGGAGTCGTCAGAATAGACAAAACATACTATTTCAAAAAAGAATGTTGAAATAATAGGCACCAATGAACCATACCAAAATTACAAAATCCGTAATTTATTCCAAAACGCACTTTCATTATGTTATGCCAAAACGTACTCTAACCCGTGTAGGGTTTATAGGGAAGTAAAAAAATTATTCTGAATATACTAAAATTTTTATTAAGTTTAAAATTAAATTAAAAATATAGTTCTAAAATATCGAACATATTTGACTCATTTTAATGTTTTAATTTAATCATAATTAAAGAATTTTAAAAATTACATCATCGTCAAAATGATTTGTCTAYAAATGGTCTGTTTTCAATGGAAACAAAAAAATCTCTTCTCTTGAAAAATTAGTATTTTAGAAATATTACCTTTTGGATTTCCTTCCATTATTTGTGATTGTCGTTATTATTAGTTAATGTAGTGAGAACATGCCTAATGATTAAGCTTCAGTTATATTTTTTWAAATAAAAAGTAAAAYAWCTTTAATATTATAATGAAGTTTTTTTTAACTAAATAATAATGTAGTTTGGCCATATATTAAAAAAGAACCTAATTTAATTACAATTTTGAAAGATAATTCTTAATATGATTTAATTAGCAAAACAAATTTCCCTACCACAGGATATATATACAATTTACAGGTATAAATACATTGTATATTAAATTATGTTTATAATATTTCATAAGTTTCAATATATTTTTTTGAACGACATATTTAAAGGTCACTTCTTGTCACGTGACATCGAGCATGAATAATATCATATCACATACATTATTAGCAATATTTGGACTAGACTTCAATAAAGGTAAAACTATTTAATCATTACAACTTTTTTCCATGAATGCAATTTATAATAAAAACTATTGTAATTTGAATTTCTAGATTCACCAATCAACATGTTATCCAATTTATCGACCTCGATTGATACACCAGACATAATAAACGTTTCAATCCTAAAAGATATTCAAGTAAGGTCTAATAAGCATATTATGATGCATGTATTAATTTGAAATATTTCTTCATAAAAATACTCGATTTTAATGTTTAGGCTATTGCTGGCGTTATTTCCGAAATATCTTCAAAAAAAGAATTTTGTGATTTGCCTGTTGAAAACTGTAACAAATGGTTAAAGTTGAATTGTAAGAAAGGTTATGATCAAGTGGAAGAATTCATTAAAAAATATGGACACCGTGGTGTCCAAGAGGTTTGACTTAAACTTACTAGTTACTATAGTAGGTACACTCATAATAGTTATTTATGAGAAAATTAAAATTAAAAATCTTGAATTTAACTAAAACTTTACGATTAAAACATCAATACTATAGGACATAGGTAAGTATAATATGATATATTATGTTTGTACAATTATAACAATTTGATAATAAAAAAAATCATATTACATTTTTACTACATATTGATTTCTTTGTATTATACCATTGATTATATAATCAATGATCATACTTATAGAAATTAATTTTTTAATCGTCATCACTTCTGTGAGTATTAASAATCAACTATTATTTTTCTGGTTTTATAGTTAGATTTTGGTTCAGAAACATGGTCGACGGATCGCAACCGATTGTTTTCGTGCCTTCAATCGTTAATATTATACGAACACCGTCAATCCGATAAAAAGCTAACAGATATCGATTCTCATACTGTTTCAAGGGGATATATTAAAAAGTATTTTTTATAARTTTTTATAGCTATTTATAGACATTCATAAAATTTATAGTGTACTTTTCGTTCTATTAGGATGATATTCGATTATTTATTAAAGAAATATCGTCAAAGCATTTCGTATAGGGAACAATCAAAAGATATGCTGGTGCAGATCACTCACAAGTTGAGATTAGGTTATCGAAAACTCGGCSAAAAACTCGTGGCTGAAGGAAAAATACCGGATTCAAAACTAATATTTTTCATGTCTCAGTACGAAGTTAAAAATATTTGCTATGACAACAATCGTTCCGAAATAGTGCAAAAGTAAGTTGCTATAATACAATAGATACCATTTATTATAAATAGGTACTGTATAATAATACGTCAAATCCAAAAACCGCAAACCTTAGAGAACATACAGGACGATATTATATCCCATACTTATTTTTAAAGTTATTATTGTATTCAAATATCAAAAATTTTATAATTTATCCATCACGAACGTTATAAATATTATTTATTTCAATTAAATTAAATAAATAAGAAATTACCGCCAGCTAAGAGCTYGACACAATAATTACATAAGAATTCTATATATATTTTTTTACGCGTTTAAATAACAATTTTATCTTTTTTGTAAGCATAAATATTTATTTTTATTTTTGGGTGGCAATTTAAATTAGAATTCGCTATTTAGTGCTTTTTAGAAATCACTAAATAAATAAACTCAGATAGATAAACTCAGTACCCAAAAGTTTTCGATGTTCGAAATATATTTGGAGTCTGAACCGTCCGTTTAATCTACAGTCCGTCCGACTGTAGATTAAAAATAGTAAGTGATATTTTGGTATACAGTAGTCAGTGAGCCGATAAAGTGTTTGATTTTTGCCTATCGACTTTTTGGAGTCAAAATCATAAGTGTTTTCAAATCCAACCTAATAATTGTATTTATCATCTTAAATACTTTCTAATTAATTTGACGCATTGGATTTTTAATCGTTATTCGCTTCCCTTAATATTATTAATAATACGTTATTCACGTGTTCGGTTTTTTTTCTTGAATATTTGTTTAATTTTATAGAGCAACGAAAAGACGTAAATTGTGGCCCGATTGGATCTTGTTGCAGTTTGACGACGTGTGTTACGGACCACCTGTTCCTAAAACATTTTTAGACGAGGTTGATTATGCTATATATTATATTATATCATATACATTTATTTAATCCTTCCAAATTGTATGTATATTTGTTTTAATTATAACTCCATAWACAGAAATATGATAACAGTTCCACGCGGTTTAAAGGTTGTTGCGTGTTTCCTGGACGGGTTAAAAATCGTGCGTGTGTACTAGAGCACATCGAAGACGCGCGTTGCTTGCGGACGGGAGACATTTTGATCGTGAAATCTGTCGACATAGCTTGGTCACCATATTTCCCGATTATTTCCGGTTTAGTCACGGAGATCGGTGGTGTAATATCTCACGGTATGCAATGAAAACAAAATAATTTAAAACCAACATACAATATATTAATCACTATTATCGCGTTTGTTTATAGGAGCTGTTGTCGCCAGAGAATACGGGTTACCCTGTCTTGTTGGAGTACAAAATGTCAAAAAATATTTCAAAACAGGTAAGGTGATAGTAAAAAAATATTAACAATTTCGAGATTTGAAAGGAGAATAATATAATTTTGGATTTCAGGTGATATGGTAATTCTAGATTCCGAAAAGGGATTTGTCATTAAAGACGACAACATCATGACAAATTGATATTGTATCCATCATAAAATAATAATTCATATTCATGGTGTATCATTTAATTTTTAAATAAATTATAATATAAAATATATTGAGAACAATACAAAAAGTGTAAAGAACATAAGATTATAAAAAATATAATAATTAATACTAACTTAAATATGTACAAAAATTAAATTATATAAATATATATAATTTACGAGACACGATTATTAACGGTAAATATAATACTATGCTTATATCAATTTACGTTTTCAAGTTTTTTGTAATCCAATTCATAAAACTTGTAACTCTTGTGTATACTCCTGGGTACTGGCCTTTTCCGCATCCTATTCCCCAACTGACAATACCCACCTGGGTCCATTTACCGTCGTTGAGCATCAAAGGACCTCCGCTGTCGCCCTGTTTTAAGAAAAATAATCGAGTAAGTTGGTAAYGTTGTGCTGTAAATCAGGTGTATAGAAAGTCATTGTATTTAATGGATGTGTTAAATTTGAATTCAATGATACAAAACCACTATATATTATACAGAAACGATTCTTATTGATGAAAGTCAACATTTTGAACATAAAAAACTCATTAAAAAAAAAGCGGGTAAGTGGGTATCGCTCTGCTGTACATTGAGGGTGGGGTAGACTTCTGACTAGGGTAGGTTAAATTTGAATGCAATGATAGGTATCATTGTATACGAAAAACGATTCTGAACGGAGACGGTTTA